ACAGGTGGTGAAGTATGTCAGGAAGAGAGCCTGAAGAGAACTGATAAACCAAAACAGATTATTTGGAAAACAGTTCAATTGAACAGCATTTACCAGCTCCATTGAAACCAGGTGTCCCCCGAGCAATCGCTTTAACATCCACATCATCAGAAATAGGTTTGTCTTTCAGATACAGCTCCAATATCTCTTGACGTCCTCGTACATCTGGATTGGGAACCACAATCTGAAAAGAGACTACTGTCAGTTGGATAGAGAAGATAACTATATGGTTTGAATTTTCTTGACAGAGTTAAATATTCTGAATTCTGGTTCAAAATTACAGAGTATTAAAATGTATGTGGACTGATAGCCAAAAGTAGATAGGAACTTACATGTCTATCAAATCTACCAGGTCTGGTCAAAGCTGGATCAAGAATATCAGGCAAGTTTGTTGCAGCCATTAATATTATTCCCTGCAAGGAAAAGACTGCATAAGAAATTCAGGAGACAGAATGAATTTTTCGAAAGCAATCTTTTTACTACATACCTCATTTTGTTCAAAACCATCCATTTCAACAAGTAACTGATGTAAAGTCTTCTTTGTATGGCCTTCCCATTGTTTTCTTGTTGAACCAACAGCATCAATTTCATCAATAAAGATGATACAAGGAGCCTGTTGGACCAAAAGTAGTGCAATTGATGAGTGCAAAATTACCATGCAACAGACCATTAAACAATCATCAATACAGATTAGGACAAGGAAAACATAGGTTATTTACTATTGTCAATATCTTGCTCAGTTCAATTACTGGTAAGATGCGGGGGCACAAATCACAAGATAAGGAAAAGGCTAAATGCTTGAACAAAAGAAAGCGTTTCTTTGTGCAAACCTTCTTCTTAGCTGCTTGGAACAGGGATCTCACACGCCTGGCACCAACACCAACAAACCTGCCGAAAGAAACCAAAAAACAACTCTGAGAAACAATATTTTTCTGACTAATGCACACATTTTTCTCACGGAACCAGCTGAGTTGGATCAAGTGGATGCTCATGTAGGCATGAACCATAAAGCAGAAAAACATTGTTCTAACCAATCCTTCACAGAGTTAAGGTGATTACTCACATTTCCTCAAACTCTGATCCTGCTCTATAAAAGAAAGGTACTCCAGCTTCTCCAGCAATAGCCTTGAGGTACAAGATATAGAAATAAGGTCAATGCCTAAACAAGTAATATTGTTGGAAAAAGCAAACAGAAAATAGCCACAGATACCCAAAATGGACTAATGCGGAGTACTAACGGGCACACAAGGAGAGGGAGGGGGGATGCTTGCTTAATGAGCTACATTTGACGGGAAGAATTTATAACATAAAATATAAAATCAACAACGATGCACAACCTTGGCATACCTTTGCAAGCAAAGTTTTTCCAGTGCCTGGTGCTCCAGTCAAAAGAATTCCCTGGAAAGTTACATCAATTTATCATACAATATAAACATAGCTGAAAAAGCAGCACCACAAAAGAACCAAGAATAACAAAATAATGAGAAGACGAAATAGCTGTTCAGTTACAAACTATGCATCATGTGACAAGAAGACCAGGTTTTAAATCACAAATAGAGAGATAATCAAACTTTATCAGGCTTAATTTGGCAGCAGGGTTACTATTCTGAAGGACCAAATCTCATGAGTTTAAGCAAGGAATCATGCAAACCGTCTTCAGACCAAGCAACCTAGTATCATTTTCCTAACACTAGTGTTTAAATGAAATGAAATGAAATGTTAAAAGACAATGCTGGCAAACCTTTGGCAACTTTCCACCCAGCCGAGTAAACTTGGAAGGGTTCTTGAGGTATTCAACCACTTCCTCAAGCTCTTGTTTGGCATCATCACAGCCTTTAACATCCTTGAATGTTTTAACATTCTGAAAAAACATAGACCAGATGCAAAGAGACAATAGGGCTGATCATCAGAAATGACATTCAGAGAATTTGCATATCTACAGGAAAACTGGAAACAATAGCCTAATGCACAACTTATTTAAGCTGAGAGACATAAGGTACATAGTCTAGTTCCATCTTCTGACTAATTAGGAGGAGCCATATATTCTAATAGCTATTTGGTTTTCCTAATCATGGTGTTTTTAAGGCCTACTTTCTCAGGCATAACTTCTTTGTTATGGTCCTTTGGAGAATACGAGGAACTTGAGCCAACTCCTGAAGCCCCTATTCCTCCCAGGCTCCCTATATATTTCTGGAGAGCTGCTGCACCCATTAACCTGAAAAAACAAGTTATGATCTCGATAAGTATAAAACTCGAAATGTGGCAGTACCATTATCACTCACTTCACGGCCAAGATGGCCAGCCCAAACCAAACAGATTTAAAGAAACTCCACCGTAGTATGCAAAAGACACCAACACATACCAGATGAGTCCAACCGCCACAGTGAACAAAATAGTGGAGATAAGCTCTTGGGCAAACCGCGACTTTTGAGACACTTTGCGATCAACCTAAGAATGAAAATCAACATATCATTAGAAGCCAAACAAAGAGTCAAATAGCTTGGTACAATGACAAAACCATTGGCATGAAAAGAAAGAAACTCAGCACATTTCACCAAAAAATGAAGGAAGCTCACTCAGCACTTACCATCACCACATGCAATGGCTGCTTCTCAGACAAGCCAGGGTTAACAAAAGGCTCATCGGTATTCCCAGCCACCCGCTGCTTTAGTTCTTGAAGCTGATTGAAACAACCATGGTCAGGCTCTCCAGATTAAGTGGCACTAAGTAGCAAAATCCCAAACAAGAAGAAAATGAACTCTAAATTACCAATGCAGGAAGACTAGAAGGCTTCCCTGACTGCTCATCAGGAAGGAAATCAGCAATAGCATTAGTAACCACAAGTGCCCTGAGATACTCTGCCACTCCCCTACTGTCCACAGCATGTTCTCTTTGTTCAAACCTCTTGATCACAGACTCAGGACTACAAAGTGATAATGGAGAACAATAAGACCATTGTCGACATGTCTTTCTCCACACAAAAAAAGATGACAACTTTCTTTCTTACCTGTGCTTGTTGAGCTCGGCCAAGAGCGCAGTTTGCTTGACAGGGTCTTGGGGACTAGCATCCGCTTCGTCAATGAGACGCTCCAGCCGCTTCTCCTGCCGCCAAAACGGGAACCAGCTAAGCCAATCAGAAGCCAAGAGGTAATCAACCCGTCTCCGGAAAGCAGCCCATATACCCATCAAGAAAACCACCAGGGGCAACTTGCTTTTCCCGCCCTTTGCCTTCTCTCCTTCCCCATCCTCCTCCGCCGCCGCCGCCTCGTCATCGCCAGAGGATAAATTCTCGGCCTTGAACTCCGCGTCGCCGGCGCTCTGCGGGTCGGAGGCCAATTGGAGAGTGGACGGGTCGAGGTGAATCCCGTCGTCGGGCCTGGATAACCCGGAAGCGGACGAAGCCGGGTCCAAGACCGAATCCGAAGGAGGAGGGAAAGACGGGAAAGAAGAAGACGAGGAAGAGGAAGAAGAAGAGGAGAAGAAATTTGGGTTATCGGGATTCAATGTGCAGGAAGTGCGGTAAGTGCGAACGGGGAATCGAGAAGGGATAAGGAAAGTGGGGAAATTGGGGCCAGAAGCAGAAGTAGATGGAGAATGGCGAGGTGGGGAATGATGAAAAGGGTGTTTGAGGGAGAAGGAAGGTCTGCAGAGAAGAGAAGCTTGGAGGGCAATGGCCATTTTCGGTGATTAGGGTTCCTTTGGTTGTTCTCCGGAGCTTCCTTCCGGCTGGCTGAGCTGAAGGGAGGAGAAGATGGAGTGAGCAGAAAGGCAAAGCAGCCAGCGGAAGGAGAGAGCAAGGCAAAATGAGTGAGTGATTCGTGGCTGCTCTACTAATCTTATCCCCTTGGCTGGCTGAGAGAGTTCATATATCTGCGATTATGATGTGAGATTGAAATTGGCGCCGGCCTATGCCTTTGCGACTATTCCTGCCATTAACAAGTTTCGAAAGCATCCCATACACTCGTTTGAGTTCGTTTAGGCCATAAAAATTAAAAAATTCTATCCTCATTCCACTCTCGACTATATTAGTTACATCAAACTTTTTCATGTGACAACGATTTAATGTGTGTTGCTAATATTGGTTGGTCACTTCATGTTGGTATTTTGTCAATTTTGACTATATGATTAAATGATGCAACTCGAAATATATACAATTGATATTTTCTTAATTATGCGATACCTCTGTTTAATTAACTTTTTTTTATCATATTAAGCACATGCTTTGTAATATATATTATCTATCTTTTAGAGTTGAATTCCTTAAAAATATCAATTAGTTGAATTCATGTAGTATTTGAATCGAACACAAAAAAAATTTACTAAAACTTATGAATGACTCTCACATATATTTAGTGGTGAGAATTCTTTGTTGTGTTCATTTCTCTCAACTACTTAATACTTTACTACTCGTTGTAACGTTTGACTTCAATATGATCTTCTGTTAAATTCTTTGTTCTGTTCATTTCTCTTTTTTGGCTCGACATCATATTTGATAACTAGAATATGCAATTGTGCTCGATCTCAATTTATGTGGTGAGAATTGTTGAATACTATCACTGATCACAACAATTTCCACCACATTAAAATGTTATTTACTTATAACAAATGAATTCATGTTGATGTCACAGGCATATGTAACGAAATCTCGTAAAAGTGAGCAACTTTTCCATGGACTCTTTAAGGAACACATGAGAAATCGTAAAAGGAGGAGGAAACCTCCAAACTAATACGCCACTTGCTGTGTAACCCGTAACTCCACTTGCACTCTTCTTCTCATAACAAACCCACATAATGAAAGTTCGAATGAACATGATTGTGGACAACTGGCCGTCATTTTGGGCTATTATATGGTTCAGCTTCAACTCCAAGGAAACTACTCTCAACTCTCAAGTCTCAAGTCTATGACTAAACCAAGCACCCTATTATACTATATGAAACTACATGAACCAAAAACAGGTCCAATGCCACCCCTTTCCAGACATTACACTCAACAATCCCATATGAAAACCTAATATTCTCGACATACTCAGACCGACCCGTTTATCTTCAAATTCTCCTGTTTTTTAACACCAGAAATAGCAGCAAACTCGACAGCCAGTAAATGATGCAAATATCCGCCATGATTAAGAGAAAAACGGAAAAATTCGACCACATTACAACATGTCTGCATTATCATCCAACAAAATACATCAAAATGTTTCGATTCTACAGCCAACAATCAAAACCTTAGTAGTTCAGAACACTTGTATCAGCCAGCACCATCTGTTGTCATCCGAAAAGGAAAGAGATTGCTGCAACATTGGTGTTCAGCTGGTGATCCAAGTCTATGCACTTCTCCTCGTTCCGGAACAAAAGCGGAGATGCTATTGAGCAGGCCTATAATGATGGCCCATTGAAGATGGTGGCGGCGGCATGCCACCATGGGAGGACATATGCATCATTCCATGGCCTCCGTGAGGGGGCATACCACCTGGTGGTATGTACGCATTACTATTACCCCCACCTGGTGGCATGTATGCATTACTATTACCCCCACCTGGTGGCATGTACGCATTGCTATTCCCCCCACCCGGTGGTGGCATGTACGCGTTACTATTGCCTCCACCCGGTGGCATGTAGGCATTACTATTCATCTGCTGCGGCATTGAATGTGGAGGAGGACCTGGAGGAACACCGGCACCCCATCCGGCTGAAGCTTGAGGCGGCATCATTTGATGCTCGGCCGTCTGAGGATACTGACCTCCGCTGTATGGCTGAACGGGACCTCCGCCCATTGGCTGCTGTCCTAAGAGTGAAGGCTGAGGGTTCATCATTGGAGTATTGGGGATTGTGTAGTCCCTACTTCTGTCGTTATTGACCTGTAATTCAAATGACAATACAACAATAATGTCTGTCGTTAGTAAGTTAACCTGCCATCATGATGGTACATAAAGAGAGAAAGTCCAATTACCTTTATGCTGAGATCATTATGGCGAGAGTACGAGAGATGAAGTTTGCAAAAGCCTCCATCGTAAATGCAGTGTCCTTCCAGTGCTTCTTTGGCTACCATGGCAGTCTGGACATCTGCAAGCCAAAAACACAATTGTTGAATGCCATAATTGAATAAGAACTATGGCAACTTTCAAGCTTAGAAATGTTAACAACTTTCTACCATGTTGCAACTGTAGACACATACAGGTGGTTAAAATTCTTTTACACATTAATGTCCCTATCACCTTATACCACACTTCAAAAGTAGATCAGTCATTTACTACATTACTACAGTCATAAACTAGACAGAGCATTGAGGTATACCAGGGTACTGAATCAAAGCTTGAAGTCCACCATTTTTGTCAAACATAGCAATCTTCTGAACAGGTCCAAAAGAAGAGAAGACCTAGCATAACAAAAGTAAATGGTAATTAGAGGATCTTCAAAATGAAAATGGATCACGGGCAATAAAAAAATTCAATGGTACCATACCATGTGGAGAACATCCAAAGTGACAGCATACTGCATGTTCTCTATTGATGCAAGAAGGACATTACTTTCAGGCTCTAGCTTTCTCCCATCCTGACCCACAGTGAACTGCAATAAGATAACAAAAGTTCATCAATCAAATATTGACAATTATGGATAATAATAAAACACAATATAACAAGCGAAGATAACTCCGACTAATTGTTCAGCAGAGTTCATATTCCAACTCTTTCACAAAAACGAAAGACCATGATCATCCACACAAGCACATCATCACACATTTCATGGTACATGACAGGAATCACAATGAAGTGGCTAATTCTAGAATCAATAATGAGCTACACAAGCATTGGCCAAGAATACCACCTTGCAACTGCAATGGACCTAGTTATACACGACTGCACCTAAGCAAAACACGGGTAACCTGTACTGACTTACCAGACCACTTCCATCAATAGCTGATGGTGCAACAGGAAGACTTAGATTAGTGTAGTCCCTGAAAAAACAACAGGCGCAGTTATGAAAAATTAACATAAAAACAAAAAGAGCAAATAAAATGAAGACAAGCAGAGCCCTCAAGGGAGGTCCTGCCCCTGAATGAATGGCTGATGATATAAGATGTCATTGAAGAGATCAGATGATAAGAAGCAACTTAAAACATAAGGGAAGGGAAGTTGAAGCAGGGATACCTGCTTCTATGGCTCTGAAATTTTACACTCAGATCCGTATGAGCAGAGTATGTGATCCTAAGTGTACATGGTCCGATTTGGTCATGGAGCAGATAGCTGACAGAGAAGGCATGAGAAGTAAAAGAAGCATCAGGACGATTAGCATACAACTTACCGAAAGCAACACAACTTCACAATTCTGGCCTATGAGTATGACAGCAAATTAGAAAATAATCTGGCAGTTCCAAGAACGACCAACATGCACAGTATGACAACTCATAATAGCTAGAAAGAGTGCTAAATGAAAGGCCGAAAAGGCTCTTTCTTAATGAACGGATCTGCATTTAAAGTTACATATCGTAGCAGTGGGACTAAATACCATGTGAAAAATACTAATTCAACCGTCACCTAGGAATATTTCTCCCATCGAGAGCATTTTTCGCAGATGTAGCAGTCTCAGTGTCGGAAAATTGCACGAGCGCCTGAAAGGTTCACATGGTAAAGATGAGCTTCAAGGATAGAATGAATCTTGGATGCAAGGAAATTATAACTTAGGTGCATACCTGGAACCCAGCTGTCTTTTCGAAAGTTGTAATCTTATGCACGAAACCAAAAGCAGAAAATACCTGCACCAAACACAAACTTAGAAATAAAAACTAGCACGGACGGTTGAGAAACAAAACAATTAAAATCTAATAACTAGGCATGCTATCCACATAGAGCTTCATGTTCTTCAGCACAACAAACTATAACAGAATAATTTGCCGATAAAAGCTGACATCGCCTACAGGAAAATACAGTTGAAAGATAAAAGACGAAACTTTAGAGGAGTTAGACTATCCAAAATGTATAAGTGCAGGCAAATGCCATAGCCACAATGCCACTACAGTGGAGTTAAAGAACGCTCTAAACAACGCCTAAGTTACTCTCGAAAGAGTAAGTAATTAACTTAATTGCAGAACCACTTGCATCAGAATTGATGCAAATCCTTTGCTTTGAAAACCCACCCACGAACAAAACATAAACTGTCTCAACGGTAGGAATGGGGATTGGAGAGGAAGAGTAGGGAAGAAAGAGCCAGTGTAGGGAAAGGAGAAAGGAGACAAACACACATGCGCTCTTTCTCCTGATGCACTAAGCTGCCATCAAAGATATTCCCTTGAGATGGGCCTGCTGATCCATTACACTTAGTCAAACAAAAAGCTTTCTGAAACTATCTGCATCCTAAGAAACGAATTGCTAAATTGCTTCCGGAACATGCTTACTTCCTGTAACAAAAACACCAGACCACTTGTTTTTCTTACCAGGTGCAAGACATCAATGCTGACAAGGCGAGCATCAGCACCTTCAATGGTCACAAGTAATACATTTCCCGCAACATCAGCTGTTGTCTTGTTGTTCACAATTTCTTGCCTGTTAGAATACTGCAGATAGACAGTCTTCCCTCTCACTTGGGCCGGCTCTGAAGATGAAGCATAGTATGATATCATAGCAATGGCTTGATTCAGATCCACCTACAAGACAGTTCACAACGTCCATCGCTAATACGTTCCATCATCAAAAGGGAAAGAGAAGAGGTGGGTTAGCGGGAAATCATTTGAACACTCACAAATTCAATGAAGGCCTGATTTTTGTTTGCACCCACATTGCACTTAGTGTTGATAACTTTACCAAAGGGGTTTCCCAGCTCAATTAATTCTTCCTCCGTGCATTCCCATGGCAAGTTTCTTAGGTGCAGCACCTTCGAAGGCGGTTGAGTGAGACGGAACTGCGGCTGGCTGGATACAGACGCCATTGCAGAACTGTAGCATACAATTGAGGGCAAACTGACTAACTATTATTGAATGACAAAAACAGAACATATATACAGTCCCAAGCTTTGGCTAAGCTGTAAACTCGACTCTCAAACCTCCATCCACTAACCCACGTCCTGAAAATCGGCAACCCCTCTAACCACTATTGACCCCTGCTGTAGAACTACTACTAAATGACTCTAAACAAATCTATCCTTTAAATCCAGCTCTAAGAAACCACTAAACGACTCAGCAGCAATTCAAAACGACACACAAACCTAAGGACACTAACTTATTCCAACAATGCCTCCCCTAAACTGAAGTCTGCTAAGGCTTCAGTTTATTTCATTACTTCAACTCCTCTGCAATCCTTAGTCCTGCCACTTGATCTTTGGATTTCAGTATGCTTAATCTGCACCATGAATTCACTTTCAGCCACCAAATCCTGTGAAAGTGAAGCCCCCCTTACACATGCGATTAGTTCCCTCCACTCTCACAGTCACCAAACAAATCCCCTTTCTCAAGATTCAATCTTTTCGAATGCTCATCCACTTCTTCACCTCTACTAGTTAGCTTTGACTTCAGTTTATTTATCTCTACTCTAAACTGAATCACCTGAGCATCAAGTAAAGTCTTCATCCCGATCTATTCTGCATCACTTTCTTTGATTTTTGCCTTCAATTTGATACTGCAATTCTGATCTTTCAGCATGGACTTTTACCTCGATGGCAAGCATTGCAGCTTTCAGCACCTTCCCTCTTCTATTCTCCATCTCAACAACACTTCTTCTTTCAACTTCAAGATTTCCTTCTCTAACTTTGATCTCTCTTTCAGCCGATAGGAGTTGAGATTGCAAAATTTTGGTATCCTTTCTGAACTCATTATTCAACCAGGAGAACAAAGAACACCATTCCAGAAACTATAACATGCACCATATTATACACATCACTGCAGCTATCCAAAACAAGCTTATTGACAAAACCAGCTCTCCAAAAAAAACCACCAACCACCGCCATCCTGCAAGTTCAAAGCCAGCACTGCAGCAACTCCAAAAGACCATAATTCCATCCATAAAAGCACAACTAGCATGAAAGCATATGCAACCCTAATGACTCCAGGAGGACTCCACATCATCTTTACCGACTTCTGTAGCAGTAGCGACTTCACTTACATTTGATGCTAGCCTCCAATGAGATTGGCTTCAGTTCAACTTCACTTTCTTCTATCTTCTTCATGACAAGGCATGCTCAACTATTTTCATTCCGGTTTCTTCACTGTACTCTCTAGACCTGTCATTTCAGATCTCTCCTTCTATGTCATCTGCCAACAAGCGAGAACTGCAACACGAAGAGTTATTTGCAGGTTCTCAAATTGTTACTTGTCGCATAACATAGCAACCGAGTACTTCTAAACCAGCCATTCGCCCACCGAATAAGGACCAGCCACTCTGCTGCCTACTCGTCGAATGACATTGAAACCAAACCTGCTTCACTCACAGATTACACCACCTACTTCACTCGTAGGTATGCCTAGCTGACACTGACACCCAACCTGCTTCACTCACAGGTTACACCACCTACTTCACTTGTAGGTATGTCTAGCTGACATTTCCTTAAACAGTTCCCCGAGAAGCCTTGCACAACCGTGGATTCATTAATCCATAATCATTCCCCATCATCTATTTCTCTGATAGCCTCGAAGTTGAACTTATGCTACAATCCCACGCACAAACTTTATAGTTTACCAAGGCAGCATCAAAAAGTTGTGTTCTCCTCATCCTGTTTATTCTTAGAGTTGCAGCCTCCCCTGAGCTGAAATCTACTAAACCAAGCTTCAGTTCAGTGTATCAACTTCAGATTAACTCTTCTTCTTCTCAACAAGTTTCTCCATTGTCTCCTCTACCAACCTAATCAATCTTCTCACTCTTCTCCTCAGTTTCTTTTACACCAAGAACCCCAACTGTCTTCTCCAATTCCCTCACTCTCTTCTTGTTCTCTGCCTTTTGTTTATTTACCTCCTTTGGTTTAACCTCATTGTCTTCCAACACCTTCCCCAGTAGCATAAACCGCACCTTGGTTCATTGATGTACTCAGATCGTGATAGAGCCTCGAGACCACAATCTCCCGCTCCCCGGCTCGAGCAACTCTCGAATCCAGCGTGTTATGGGTCTTTTCCGACTACGCAAGCTCGCTTGACAAAGCCAGACATGATACATACTACGAAACTGAACCAGACCAGTCTGCAACTTCAGCTGGAAACCTTTTACCAACATGCCATATGGGATATGGCTCACCATCACTCATCATCGACTCAAGAGGACTTAGTACACTTGCATACATAGATCTCAAAGATCCACTCCCTCCATCGATAGAATATGCACACTGACTTCCTTCCACATCTTTGGTTTCTTCTTCTTCAAACATAAATGACAAAACCACTCATGCTCAGGGACTACGCTCTCCTATGACTGATGCAAGACAAGTGAAGTGGCTGCCTTAAAAAACATCACTAAGCAACATCCTTTTCGTGAAATATGAACGAGAACAAACTCTGCATCGCCAACAAGCCGTGCCACCAAAGTGTATCCCAGAACCAGAAGTCTGTATCATCTATCATTTCTCTACCCATCCACACTGAATTGAGCTCCACATTCAATCATGATGGTGACGAAGGCAAACTATATTCATACTAAAACTCATTCAATAACGAGAAAGGTTCTTCCGCATTCTTACCTTTCTTCTATTGAAGACAAGCATATGTGTACTTAGCAGCCTGAAGTGAAGGAAGAGGTGAAACAACCTCAATCTTTGATTCTCCCACGTAGCTGAAAAACTGCTTCTATTCTCCCAGTCCATTCTTTATGAAGCTTCATCTTAGTAGGCAACCAACCCCGTCAATTCCATCAATCACCCATTATGGGCTCTCACTATGATGGCGGCAATTGACTCCTTGAACTCATTTCTTTTTGGTATGATCGATCAGTTACAACACGGATTTGCAGAGTTCACCGTCACTTGGCGTCGACCCATTTGGCCACCACAACGATTTATGCTCGGCTCCATAATTCTGTTACCGACGGCAAACCTCGGAACCTGAACCGTCATCGTGTTCAGCGACGAGAGCAAGGTAGGGCTGGCTGATCAATTCTTCTCCCTCTTGCTGCTTCGTGGTGGTATTCTTGGTCCCCTTTTCACTCGCTTACTTTACCCAAAAATCCCTCTACACAATAGGCGGGCGGCGGCCAGGCGGCCACCGCCGCCACCGGAACCAATGTCCCTCTAGAAACTCTCAATCGCACAAACTCACGAAGATACGCTTGGTTACAGTTTGCCTAGGCTCTGATACCACAATGTAGCATACAATTGAGGGCAAACTGACTAACTATTATTGAATGACAAAAACAGAACATATATACAGTCCCAAGCTTTGGCTAAGCTGTAAACTCGACTCTCAAACCTCCATCCACTAACCCACGTCCTGAAAATCGGCAACCCCTCTAACCACTATTGACCCCTGCTGTAGAACTACTACTAAATGACTCTAAACAAATCTATCCTTTAAATCCAGCTCTAAGAAACCACTAAACGACTCAGCAGCAATTCAAAACGACACACAAACCTAAGGACACTAACTTATTCCAACAAGAACTACCTTAACCAATAAAAACACGAGCCCCATCTCAAAATCGGTTACCCATAAAGCAGGTGAAATGAAATCAACACATGAACACAAAACGACCCAAGTCATTGCTGCTTAATTCTTTCCGAAAACCCCTCAAAACAACTGCCCACCAAGGACTCAGCCCGATGTTTTCAGGTGAGCACATAAACAGAAAAAGAAAGATAATGCCAAGACATGGGCGATTTGAAACCATCAGGACGCTTAAGTGGATCGTTATTAAGCGCAACAGAAGCAAATATCATTCAATGAGATAGGAGTTTCACGCTATAGAACATTCCAAGCACCCAAGGAAGTCGTTCCGCAGATACACCCATCGCTGAGTCAGCTATCAGCCACATAACCAGAACAAATTACCCCAGCACAGAACGAATTCGACAAAAACAACTAAATCTGAAGGCTGCAATCATCTCCAACAGCAAAATCAGCAAGACGCAATGGCGAACCAGCAAGCGATTTCGATCGGGGAAGTACGCCCGAATGGGGAGAAATAGCTTTAACCTAGAGTTCCCGGGAGAATGAGGGTCAAGGCGGCATTGAGCATACCTTTGGCGAGCCAGAGAGAGCGTGTATAACTGATGAATCTTCGGAGGGAATTAGGGTTATGGAATGGAAGAAAGCGACGCAGCTGGAACGGCGGCAACTAGCTGGCTCGAGGTCGGTGCCGGAGAATTGAGCGCGCTCTGTGTTGAGCGATTAGCAGGAGGAAAGCGGAGGAGTGGAATTTTGGCTTTTGCCGGGGCCGGATGCGTATTTATCTGTTTGGCGGTGGGATTTTTACACTTCTAGGCATTCCCCGCAATTCGTTGAACTACGTCGGGGTAGATTCGTCATTGTCTCTCGTCTTTCGTTTCCCGTCTTTGGGCTTGGGCTGGTCTGGACTCTGTAAATTTGTCAGCGGCCTGTTTATTCTGGGCTTGTTCAAAGGTGGTATTTTTCTTTGTTAAGTCTGGATTTAAGTTATGGTAGAAATTTTTGTTCTTTTATTCGTAGAAATTTACAACTTATAAAATATGAGGGTTTTTTTACCAAAATTTAGAATATGAGGTTTTGGTTTACAAAAATTTATAACAATTTCTAGACTATTTGTTGGCCAAAACCAAAACCCCAAAACTAAGTCCATTACAAAGATATCTCCCTCCAGCCATAGGGGTAAGAATAAGCTTCTTCCACTAAGAATACGTAAACTCTCGACTCCAACAGTATCAGAGACTTGAGAAGAATCCCAGATGGTTGGCACCCTTATCTACCTGGGATCGAGCTTTTTCGGCCTGAGAAACATCGGAACAATCGATCATAAAGTGTGTTTATGAAAATGAGGCTGAGATGGTGCATATGCCGAGTATGATTCGAGTTCCTACACTAACCTCTTTCTCCCACTGGCATCTCAGGGTCATTACAGTTAGCACCAACGTTTGAACCACAGTTCCGGCTAGCATTCCGACCCAAATACCCTGCCCAAGGTATATAGATATAATGTAAAATTGATTCTGGGAATAGATGAAATGGATCAACAACACAGTCAGTTCGAATCCGTCAGCAGGGCTTACTTGGATACCAAAGTGAAGCAACCACGAACCGAAGAGTACTCCCAACGGTCCGACAATGTAGTAGCTTCCTATATTTACAAATGCCACTGATGCTTGCCAGCCTGATCCAACCGCCACACCTGAAAAGGAAAAACCCAGAAGAATGAAAGAAACAAGTTCATATTCATAAAGCCTTTGGCTAAATGTAGACACCATGTTGTAAAGGCAATGTTACTCGCCAGAAAGAACAGGTTGAATGCTGTTCAATACGACGGTGAAAGCCAGCAACGCTGCCAATTCATTGACCATTGAGATAACGGAGGAGCTCGATGTGAAGATTGCAGCAAGTTCTTCGGGAAAGACCATGATGATTATGCCAAAGAACAGTCCAACAGCTGCTGATGTTGTCACTGATACAATGGTTGCAAATTGGGCCCCTTTAGCATTCCCTGCACCAAGCCCATTTGCAACCCGCACCCTGGATGTTCCATAGATGGTCAAGTTGGAGAGGATGAATTCTCCTAAAAGAACTAAAGCTATTGACTCGTGAATTGAAACCTTTGGAAACAAAACTAGGTACCTCCAGATTCAAAACCAGTAGTATTCCCACGGGACCAAGCCCTGGTTCGCACGGTATAGAAAGTAAGAGTACAGGTTAAAAAAGGTGTTGCAGGGATCCAAAAACATTTTGTCTTCATGCCATAACGGGGACACTTAACCATCACCAACCTACGCCTTTCCCCGCTCCCTATAATTCTCTTCAATATGCTAAATGAACCTCGAATTAATGGTTATTAAAGCATGAGATGACATAGAGCCAGGGCAGAAGCCTGGAATTGACTATATACTGCATTTGAACATTTCACTGACCAGCAGATAAGTTTTTCCAATCATTGACTCTCAAATCACAGAAGTCCATCCAATGCAATGGGGAAACCCATCCATTTATAAAACTTCTATCAATAGCAAGAACTAGTTTAGCTGGGAAGCAAGGTGCGACGTATCTATCTAAGAGTAATAAGATCAAGTTCCAATTCTCAAATGAAGCCATGCTTGTATATGAAACTGCTTTCCGATTGCCAAAGGAGCTTCTGTTAGTGAATAACAACTATAAAGTTTAAGTTAGACAGGATACCAAGTCAAACACTTGAGTCAGTTGTGATGTTTACGAGTACGGAGTAATTAAAAGTAATCACTTATCCTACAGATGGGTCAACTTCCAAGCAAGGAATTTCATTTCAGAATAAGAAACTCACCCGGCTGCAGCTAAAAATCCAAGTGGAATCATGGACTCCCAGGTATAAATTGTTATGCTGTCAATGGAAGCAAGATATAGATTAGCAACAAAACACATATGAAAGCTGACCACAAAGGAAGGACACAGCACAAACCAAAAAACTGGGATTGGAGATTGCAACAGTAACAAACCAGATAGAGAGGGCATCAATTGCGACCTTAACATTCTGCATATACCCAGAAACTACAATCAACACTTTGTAATAGAAGTTCTCCAACCTGCAAACCATTCACCAAAAGAGCAAAAACATTGAATTAGCTTCTACCATGAACCTAACTACAAAATATTTGATCAACCATTCACGAACCTTACGACATACAATACTCACGAAAGCATAACTCCGGAGGCCACTGCAAGTTTGAAGAAGTCCCAGAGTCCCACAAAAGCTTGATCCGAGAAACCAGTCCAACATTCCGGGCAGCCACCACAAACACAGTACAAGAACATGGCCAAGACCGTGACCCACCAAGAGAAATCGATCGTAATAGCAGCCCCCACAATCCCAACTTGCAGCTTGTGAACAAAAACCCAGCTCACTACAACATGGAGAACAAGAGCACCACCAGAGACCCAAGCGACGACTCCCGCCTTGAGCTGGCACTGCAAGAACCTTTGCAATGTGAACTGAAACGGGAAGCTCAGATGAAATGGTATCAACCATAGAGCCACAAGGCCCGTCTTCTCCGCCACATCTGCTGGCTGCCCAATTAATTTCAATAGCGGCGCTGCAAACAGAAACAATGGCAGAAGCAGTAGGGAACACAAGAACAGCACAATCCAGGAACGCTGCATATATATTCCCAACATATGGTATTGTTTTGCTCCGTATGCTTGGCCGCACAATGTCTCCAGCGCGCTCGCCATTCCTAACTGGAACCCAAATTGGGAGAAAAGAAAAAAGGGTTCTCAACGATTCAAATCACCGAACCAAATTTGAATGCCGGATTTCTTCACGAAGATTAAGCTTTTACCAGGAAGCCGAAACTGATGCCGATGATGACAAAGCAAACCATGGAAATGGCGGCGAGATTGAGTTCGCCCAAGTGGCCCGCGAACGCTTGGGTGACGACTGTCAATGAAAACATGGCGACCCGGCTGAAGATCGAGGGCCCGGCAACGAGCCACAAGTTCTTCGATTCCTGCCATACGGCTCTGATCAAATCAGTAGATTCAAGGTTACTCGATCCGGGCTGGTGGGGTTCTCGAGATTGAAAGCTCGACTGGCTTTGACACAGTAGATGGTCCTTCTCCGCCGCCGCGGTTTCCATGGCCTGGATTTGGGTTTCTTCCCGTGATAGGTGCGAGTGACGAAGCATCAGGCATTTACCACTCTAGGCTCTATGCTGCCGTCGTTTGTTCCACTCACACATAACCTAAAGATTAAAGTAGAACTGGGTGCCATTAGTTTAAAGCAGAAACAGAACAAAAACTTTGTCCGATTGTGCAGATTATATTTCAGGGCAACCCACCAGCTTTGCAATGTGAGCTGAACAGTAGTCGTCGTGTTATTATTCTCTCCTCAACCATCCAGAAGCCGAAACTCTCTTAAGCATTATGGAACCTTCTCAGAGACTGTCTATGATGCTTGCTGGGGAAAAGAAATGGCGAAGTGGAATGTCATGAATTTCATTTCACGCTTGTTGTCTGCATCACTTGAACGGGAACGCGCTCTTTGTACTAGTGGATTAAGCTATCTTAACCCCAAAGACATCTCCAATGAACCAAAAAAAACGAACTGCAGTTTCCCATTTCACCCTCCTCCGTCGGACAAAGCCAAACGGAAAGTCTTCCTTTCCTCTTCTTCGCCTCTTCGGTTTGTTTAGTAACGGGGGAAAAAAACGAACAATGGCTGTCAATTTAATTTAATAAATAATTAAATAACGACAAAATCCAGCCGGATACAGAGATACCCGTTAGAGCAAAAAATCAAATTACAAAGCGGCCGCGTCGTGGCGACCCGGTACCCACCCACTCTTACAAGAAAAACGAAACCCCAACCAAAAAAAAATAATTTAAAAAAAAGAAAAAGAAATCCAGACTTTTTCCGGGTGTGTTCTCTCTGAGAAGATATTTTGATCTTCTCCCGAATTATTATTTCTTAAATAACCGGCAGGATTTTCTGTAATTTGATTCCTTTTAGTTTTAGGTTTTTCTCCGTTCCGACTATTTTTTTTCTTCTTTTTATAATCTGAATCTCTCCTCTTCTCCAGTACTTTACTGCCTCCTTCCTCCTTCCCTTCCGTTTTATTTTCTTTTCTCCTCCTCTCAAATCGACAATGGCGGTGGAAAAGAAATACATTACCAGCGAGGACCTCAAGCAGCACAACAAGCCCGGCGACCTCTGGATCTCGATCCAGGGGAAAGTCTACGACGTCTCCGAGTGGGTGAAGCGGCACCCGGGCGGCGAGGTAGCCATCGCCAACGTCGCCGGCCAGGACGTCACCGACGCATTCATAGCCTACCACCCGGGCACCGCCTGGAAGAATCTCGACCCGCTCTTCACCGGCTACCACCTCGAGGACTACGCCGTCTCCGACGTCTCCAAGGACTACCGCCGCCTCGCCGCCGAGTTCTCCAAGCTGGGCCTCTTCGACAAGAAAGGGCACGTCGCCGTCTCGGCACTCGCCGCCGTGGCGGCCCTGTTCGCGATGGTGGTATACGGCGTCGTCTGCTGCGATTCCCCCTGGGCCCACTTTGGAGCGGCGACGCTGCTAGGGTTTCTCTGGATCCAGAGCGCGTACGTGGGTCACGATTCGGGTCACTACCAGGTCATGACGACCCGAGGCTACAACAAGCTCGCCCAGCTCCTCGCCGGCAACTGCCTCACCGGGATCAGCATCGCGTGGTGGAAGTGGACGCACAACGCCCACCATCTGGCGGTGAACAGCCTCGATTACGATCCAGATCTGCAGCACATCCCTGTTTTCGCAGTCTCGACCCGGCTATTCAAATCGATCCGATCCGTCTTCTACGGGAGGAATTTGGATTTCGATCCGGTGGCGAGGTTCCTCGTCAGCTACCAGCACTGGACGTTCTACCCGGTAATGTGCGTCGCCAGGGTGAATCTCTACCTCCAGACCTTCATCCTCTTGTTTTCCCCCAAACGAATTGTCCCCGATAGAGCGTTGAACATAGCCGGGATTTTGGTTTTCTGGACCTGGTTCCCTCTTTTGGTTGCTTGCTTGCCCAATTGGCCGGAGAGGTTCATGTTCGTGCTGACTTCCTTCGCGGTGACATCGATCCAGCATGTTCAGTTTTGTCTCAACCATTTCCCGGCGAATGTGTACATGGGTCCGCCGAGGGCGAACGATTGGTTCGAGAAGCAGACGAGGGGCACGGTGGACATCTCGTGCCCGTCGTGGATGGATTGGTTCCACGGCGGGCTGCAGTTCCAGCTGGAGCACCATCTGTTCCCCAGGCTGCCGAGGTGCCAGCTGAGGAAAGTGTCGCCGGTGGTTCAGGATCTGTGCAAGAAGCACAACCTGCCGTACCGGAGCTACTCGTTCTTGGAGGCGAACGTGTGGACGATCAAGACGTTGAGGGCGGTGGCGGTGCAGGCGAGGGATCTGGCGAATCCTGTGCCCAAGAACATGGTGTGGGAAGCTGTTCATACTCACGGTTGAGAGAGGGATTTTTGTTTGTTTGTTGACGAATGGATTCCATCTCTGTTCAGGGGGGAAGTTTTTTTGAAAATTTTGCTTCCTCTCTTGTTGTGTTCATTTTTTCAGTGAATTAAGAACTGGCTACAATTTACAGGGGTAGTAGAGTTGTCTTTCAATTGCTTAATTGTATTTCTTTGGTTGCATTATTGCTGATATACTGGAACTACGAGTTCTTAAGTTTTTTTTTTTCTCAATAGGAGATTACGATGTTGAAATAAACGGCCGTCAATAGTAACCGATCTACCCATGAAACAATAGCCAGCTCTATTGGCCGGGAAACGGTGCGGTCTGGTCCAGACCATACCATATATAAGGTTTATGATCACGACCGAGAGGTTGAAGTATAGATGACAGACCAGACCACAGATTATACGGTTTGGTCCAGACCACGCCTGTGCGGTTTGGTTCGGTCTGGTCTGATCCAGATAGACCACACTCAACGAAAAATGAATAATTTATTTAGTCAACCACACAAAAATTGAACCAATAACAAAGAAAAATAATTGTTGCCTTAAAACATTAACCCTAACATGCATGAATAATTTTGATACTCTAAATCTTAGTACATAACAAAGATACAAAGTAAAAGCATCCCAACTTGCACCATAACGTCATAAACATTAACATAATGTCATTATGGAGACCCGATTATCTCTACTCTCTGGTTAAACGTGGTTGTGAATGAAGGAGGGACGAGATTCACAAAACTAATTAAGGTTGAGACTTGGGTGTCGTTGTGGGAGTTGGGAAGAGTGGTCGAATGAGCTGTTACACGTATTGACAAGTCAGTTGGGTCCACGGTTTGGTCCGGTAAATCGCGGTCTAGATCAGACTAGACCAAGAGATCAAAACATATAATAATACACACCATGGACCAGACCAGATCATACTTAACGGTCTACGGTCCGGACCAAACTGTGTGGTACGTTTTGGACCACGATCGGTCTGGTCTATTTTCCCAACCCTAATTCTTTCTCAAAGAAAAAAGCGAAAATCACTAAAAATTCATAAAAAGGATTTGGCTTCACTCTCTCGAGACTTAGTCACCCAATTCGTGGGTATGTGGGTGCCGCTCCTGCTTAGGTGTAGCAAAAAGCTTTTTATTTTTATGGAGCGTAAAGCCGCAAACTATATTATTAAATCCGCGTACTACCAAAAATTCTCCATCATGCCGCTACCACCAGGATCGCTGAGAGATCAGAAACTCGGTTCGGAGGAAAATGGACTTTTGCCCGACGATGGTTCAGAAAAAAGGTTCATCATTACTGCTTCGTCAAGGATGGGAACGTCTCCCTCTCCCTCTCTTCGCGATACGCTATCATCTCCCTACTCCACTGCACTTCACCTTGCTAATGAAGAAGACCATTCAATTTCAGTTTCAATCGTATCCATTAATCCAAATTAACCTCAATCAATTTTTTCCATTTCATGCAAAAGGCGGACTGTTGGATGAACAATTACTTCAAACTGGAAGTCCAACGAAACTTGGACCCAGACATGCATGGCGCGCCAGAGTACTCGAGGTCATGGAAGATGTTAGAGTTAGTCAATAGAGTTGTAATACCACATTGATGGGAGAAGGAAAGTATAAGAATTGAGTCTTTTATCAGTTTAATTAATTAATTAATTTTATATTAATTAATTAGTGTTTGAATATTGTGAAAAGAGGTATCCTTTCGGAAATGTAACTTCCTTTTTTTCTGTGAAAGGATGTGTCCTTTCGAGAAAGGTAACTATCTTTCTCTGTAAAATTATTTGTCCTTTCAGGAAAGGTAACTACCTTTTTCTGTGAAAGGATGTGTATCTTCGGAGGTAACTTCCAGTTTTCACAACTATAAACAGATGACTGCCATAACTCTTTTTGTTGAACGAGAAAATTACTTCTTCCTGTTTTTCCTTCTCTATTTCATAACCATAAAAGTCTGCAAAATTGTTGCTTCCAGACTTAAATTGAAGGGACTCCTGGGGGTGGTTTGCTCGAGCCTACCAACCATTTGTAGTGGAGTAAAATAACACTCTAAGGAGAGTGATCTAATCACGCCTTCAATCTGTTCTTTTCTACCAGTTCACAAAAGAAACCACCCTTAGGTGCACACTTAGATTTCAAACTCAATACAGACGCTGGGATCTTAGGGGGGAAAGGGTTTGGAATCAGAAAAGAGAGGATTAAGACTGCTGATTGAGGAAAGTGATTGTCAAACTCTGATCTGAAAGCTCATGAAAGGAGAAGAAGATGACAAAACAGGGTTTCTGTGAACATATTAGATTGGTAGGTGAAAGCATGGGTGAAAGAGGAAGAAGAGGTTGTTGTTGGTCTTTCGTCTCCCCGATCTACCATTAGCCCACCTCCCTCTGGGTTGGGATTAGTGTACTTCGTAGGTCAATCTAGTGCCAAATTGTGTTGTTAGCTTGATTGCAAATGGGGCTACTGTTAGGTGTGGTATTAATCTGTCTAATACGACAAACAACTAAGTCATCAACGGGCCCAAGCCCATCACCCCACACATTTTATCGGGCCCAAGCCCACGAAAGGAAGCCCAAGACTCCTATAAAAGGAGACTCATGCCTCCAAACCAAAGGATCATCTCCTTCTCTTACTCACTTTCCCCTAAGGTCACTCTCTACTTCATCTCTCTACATATCACACACTCTCTCCTATATCATACTAACTTGAGCGTCGGAGCGTAGATCCCGCGGCCACCTCCCGCCTCACAGGTTCTTCCACTCCCGAGGAGATCAAACGAGGGAGTCCAGATCGGAACCCGTAATTATTATATTAGCACTGGGTACATTCTAGGGGTGAAACAGCTACTATGTGTAAATTCTTTTAGTTAATTTAATCTAGGTTCTTATAAAGAAACCTTCAATTTCGTTTAGTTTTGGTGTACTTTTGGTAATTTTAAGGAGGGTACTTTCATCATTTGATATTAGTGGGTCTAGGACAAGAATTATTTGAAAAAGATGTCATAGAGGCGATCTCTGTCTATTAGCATTCTTCATGAAATGAAATGGTGAAAAGGGTAGTTATAGAGTTTTTGCCTGTGAGCTGCCAAATTTTTGTGCAAATTGGCTCCAGGACACTTCCACTGGTCAACAATATTTTCTGTGATAAAAAAGGAACCACCTGGTCTGTTGTGAACTTGTGATGTTGAAATTCGTTCTATTCTAAGGCTAATATCCTCCTAGAATTGGTTTCTCATTCTTCATATCACAGTGATGGTGCTTTACATTGTATGACTGTGTACTGATTCATCTAGTTTCTCAATCCCTTAAGAAGAGCATTTGAGCTGATGGTAATTTTGTTTGAAGTGTTTAGCCTTCCTTAGTAGAGCAAGTTCCAGACATGCAGGAGTTCTGTTCCCATCAAGATGGGAATATGTTCTTGACACAAGAATAACCACCAGGTAAAGCTGATCTTCTACTGTTGCTTGAAGAATCAGAATCTCGAAGGAGAAAGTATGATGAACCACACAGTTCCAATATTGTAAGTGATATTTTAATCAATAAGTCCCTTCTCTACCAGCTGACAGTAGCATAACCTGATCGACCCTTATCAATGCTATCAGTTCTAGTTTGTTATTCTCTTGCCAATATCTCTTTGCTTGCAGGAGAAGCCAGAAGGTGATGATAATATGAAAGATCAAGTTGCAGATGACAAGACGAAAAAGCTTCATGTGCGAACACAAGAATGTTTCCTGGTTAGTCCCTAACAATCTGAGGCATATTGGCATGCCCAGGTTTCCTTTTCTAACACAAGCTCGTTGTTAGGAAACCATATCTCTTGGATTAGAGCTGGAGAGGTCCCCTTATGGCTTTTGTTTAAGCTAAATTAATGGATGCTAAGGGGTTGTGATTTTGGTGCTTCTGGATAGGATATGTTGTGAAGGAACTGATATAGAATAGTACCCAAGTTTTAGTTTTGTGGGTTAGGTTTATGCTGTCTATAGGATAGGTTGTGTTTTCTAGCTTGAGATAGGCTTTGGTAGATGTATGCTGTCTCCCTTAACCTTTTTGTTTAACTGGATTCTGGCTTGTGGTGTTAAATGGATGTTTGAAGTTTATATATCGTCCAATAGCTACTCAGCTAATTGCACCTTTGCTCAGTATTTGCAATATAATAGTAAAGACAATTTTTCATTCTCTTTGTGTAAAGTTGTAACTGTTTTCTATGGGGACAGAGATTCAAAGGTGCACCAAATGTTGGCCTCGCCAAATGAATTGCTTGTTTCATTTCTAATAAAAGTTCAGAACTTGTGGGCTCTTTCCCAATGATTTACTACATACTTTCACAACTTGTTCACTTTTACAACTTCTCATACTGAAACCAAAGCCGAATATTAAGATATCTGGAAACTGTGGGCTCTTTGAACATGGACATACTAAATTACTAATTGTTGGTTGTCTTTTTCCTTTTTATTCCTTTGGGAATTGTGGGAGATTTGTCTTTGTTCTTTTCTTTTTTCTTCTGTTCCTTTTGTCTGTATGTTGTTGTGTTTTTGTCATCAAACTAACTGAAAGTCCAACAATAGGCCTACGAGTCAACAGACCAAGCAAGCAGCCATTCCATTTCCTCAGGTTGGTTGGGGGGTTCATCACACCATATAACCCAGAAAGCTCAATCCACCATCTACTCATTCTGGTGTTTCTCCTAACTCCTAAGAAAGCACAGGGAGGGAAGAAAAACCAGGCTATGGGTCGTGAGAGCCGGTCTAAGGCAGGCAAAGGCAGAAGTAGCACTAGCTCTGCCTCTCAAGGTTTCATTCTTCTTCCTTGTTAAAACAATGATATTTTAACCTTCTCAGTTGTCCTTATTGTTTCCTTCTGGTTTGCAGAGGTTAGCAGCCGTGAATGGGAGGTGGTAAGAATGAATGAACAAGAAGAAGATCTCATCTCCAGAATGTACCGGCTCGTGGGTCAAAGGTAACTTAACACCAAAACTAATCACCTTAACATATCATTATGTTGGTGAAGAAGACTGAGGCAGAAGGTTACTGTTTTATATTTTGCAGGTGGGATTTGATTGCTGGACGAATTCCAGGGCGAACGGCAGAGGAAATTGAGAGGTTTTGGATCATGAAAAACCGTGGATGGGCTTCTGCAGAGAGAAACGTTTGATACAAACATGAAAGAATGAAAGCTTAGCAGCAGGCTCATTGGAAAATGTAGTTTCATGGCTTAGTTTTAGCTTCTTGGTTACCCTATCAATCGTTTCTGGGTTTTCTGCGAACCCTGTTTAGCAGTTTATGGCTAATGATTCATATTCAGATGCGGCCATGCTGTAATGCTGTCAACGCAATCGTCTTCCTTTTCTAATTGATCGCGCAGACATAACAAAACTTGTATATGCTCAGATCCATTGACACATGAGGTTCCTTTAAGATACATTTACATGATCGAAAAACAAAACTTGATATAGGAGGATTCGTGTGGAGTGTCTGTAACTTTCATCTATACCTGTATACTGTATAGTACACGTAAGCTATATATGGTACAGATCATGAATATACAAGGATGGGAAAGGGTATGGAGGAACGGTTTGAGTAGTTAGAGCCGAACCTTTGGAAGAAGATGAATGTTCAGACAACATATGGACGAAGGTAATCCATTCTAGCAGGGTGCTTGAGCTTCATGAGCGCCTTGACTTCATGCTTACGGACCATTTCTCTCGAGATGTTTAAGTTAGCAGCAATCTCGCCTAGTGTTCTATCACCTTTGCCGTCCAGCCCATATCTTTGCCTGATCACCAAGCTCTCTTTCGGCTTCAGTGAGTCCAGCTGCACATTTACAGGAATTCCAGACATGGGTTAAGCTTTTAATGAGAATGAAAGGTTATTCTTATATGACCACTGATTGATCAAGTCAAACTCAACATACCACGTCGTCAAGAGCAAGCCTAAGAAGAGCTGGTTGCCTTTGGTTGTCACCACCATCCACATCTGTGATCCCACTGATCAACTCTTCCTGAGTTGTGGCATTCCTCATGTGAAGAGACAAGATTGGTTTGGCTGCTTTCATCACTTCATGATATCTCTCGTGGGAGATCCCAACCCGTTCAACGATCTCTTCCTCGGTTGGCTCTCGTTGCAGCTCCACCAGCAAGTGGAGCCTAGTCTTCTGAATCTCCACTCTTATCTGCAGAATACGATATGTCAAGCCCAGTCTATGGAGCCAGGGAAGCGATCAAGCATAAATGAATACTCAAAGCATACCGATTCGAGGCCAAATGAGACACGGGTAAAGCTAGAGAGAGTCATGGACCGAATTATGGCATGCCTAATCCAAAACAGACTGTAGGTAGATAGCCGGAACTTCCTCTTGGGCTCAAACCGATCGATTGCAGTGATTAGTCCCTTCACTCCAGCCTGACACAGGTCTTGAAATCTCGGGCTACTCGCAAAGTCCGAAAAGTATTTATTGATCACGAACAACACCAAACGGAGATTGTGCTGCAACAAATACAACAGAACCATCAGCGCATTTTCTCAACATATCGATGCAAGCATTCTATAATCTTAAAAAGTTTGTACCTTGATGAGCTTGTTTCTAGCAGCTCTGCCAACCTCCAACTGTCGTCTAACATCAACCACAGTCGAATTCGTCGCCTGTGCCAATTCTCCATCAATCGGCTCCCTCCCCAAAGTCTTGTGCAGATCATCTTTAACCTGAATAAGAGCCTTCAAAGCAAAATGCAATCAATTCTAAGCTCATATTTACTACTCATTAGAGAACAAGCCATTCTAGCCGAATTTTTCAAGACACCCTACCTTCATAGGTTGCATCAACTTGAACAACCAGTTGTGCTCGGAGGAAGGAAGAACCGGTGGAAACTTCATCTTCTTCCAGTCCAAGCTAGCCAAATCAGTCGAACCAGTGTACTGCCTCACGAGTTCATCAATCTTCTCGCTCTCATCCTTCCTAACTCTCTTCTTACTAGCTAATGAACCAACAACAACTCTCTCCTCTTCTTCTCTACACTCTTCTTGCTTCACATGATTCTTCTTGAGTGCTACCCTCTTATCAAGACTCAACCTTTTCGCCTTCTTCACCCGATTCCTAACAACCACTCTACTAGTTTTCACCGCCCCATCGCGACTCTTCCTCTTCCTCTGCCTATCTCTAGTCACAACTACATCGTCATCCTCGCCATCTGATGGAGGGCTCAGCTTGTATATGCTCTCCAACTTCGCCGCGGCCTCGTTGTAGTCCACATCCAATTTAGGCACAGATGATACTACTCTATCCCCTTTCTTCGGCCGCCCCTTCTTGACCTTATTGGAAGATTTCACCGACAGTTGCAGATGAGTACTGTCGCTAGGCGAGACTAGAGACGTGCTATCCGATTTGTCCGACTTGAACGCCACGATCAGTGGCCGCCATGAATTCGATCCGTTGCTCGAAACCCTTGCGGTTAACCCTACTGGGTTCCTGGAAGCTGAGCTAGAAACAGTCACAACTCCCATGATCGCGCCCAAAGAATCAATCTTTTCCGAGTTCCTCCGAAAACCCAATTCGCGCACTTAACCAAATTGATAAAGAAGAAGGAAACAATTTCGTCAAAATCAGCATAAACACCGTAGTAGGGCTCAATCACTAACAAGGTAAAACAATAGGCTACACAAGATCAGAATCTTACCAGCGTGATCAAGCAGAAGAACCCCAGATGGATTTAGAGAAGATTCCGTCGCGATTCTGTTTCAGGCGTTTGTTCGGCACAGAACTGAGGGCAGAGGAAATGTAAGAATCTGATTTTTTTTTGTTGGGAAATTGATTTGTTATGGTTCATTTGAAAATGGGAAATTATGGTGTCCACTGGAGGCAATCGACGGAGGGGAGAAGGAGAACAGAGGGATCGGACGGTGGTGGATTTATACAAACTGTACATGAAAAGGCGGGAAACGGAAGTGATGACGTGGAGAGCGGAGGAGAAAGAACGGATATTATTGCCAGGGAGGATTGTGGTTAACCGAGGCTCCACGTGGATGGCTTGCACTGGAGGCGTAATGACAAAAAGGCTTCCCTATGTGGGCCCCAGGCCCGTTTGTTTGTGGTGGTCCGCTGCGTTTTACGTTTCCTCCTGGTAGCCAGAATTAATAATTTATTATTTATACATTTATGGGCCAAAAAGTTTCGGTTGGGCTGGGCCAAAAGTGTAAAACGAGCTCCTGTGATCGGGCTATATAGCTGAGACTCGTGTTTCGTAAGAGCCCATACTGATCACAGATTTTCTATAGTTCCTTATTCTATTGGTTTCCGTATTCTTACAAAAACTAGTTCTTATGATATAATTACAACTGATATAGTTTCATGACGAGATCACGGAGACCTAAACATTTACAGTACCATCACAAACGATTAACCATAAGTACGAATTCCTACATCGAAGACGAGGTAACGTTGCCAGCATGACCGACCGACCGCAAAGTTGTCATAAACCAGTTGGTCCCAATAACTCGAGTTGTTGGAAGAAGGTTATGTTGGATCTTATACCACTCTCTAACAAGCCTCCTCAAACGAAAGCCGACTCATGGGCCCGTCATACCATGTGCTTGAAAGACAACTGTTAATATTGTGGGTCGTGGAGATTCGAACACACGACCACTTGGCCAGACCAGTTCTGATACCATGTCAAATTTTTGATGATGCGGAATAACAAGAACACGAGACAAACGATTTTTACGTGGTATCCTCGATCGATTGATCGAGACTAATCCACGGTGAGCTCGTAAGGGCTCACGACTGATCTCTTATTAGGATTTACATCTTGGCGGCTTGCTATCACACAAGTCGATAGCTAAGCTTATATAGATAAACTTAGGGCGTTAAAACCCTAATCCAGCGAATCAGACGAGGCCCAACAAAGCCCAATACTAACACGGTTTAAGTAACCGCGCAACATCGTTTGTCTCGTTTTCTCTTGTTATTCCGCATCATCAAATTCTACCCAAATCATAGAAAATGCATGGAAATAAATAACTAGTGCGAGCACTTAAATCAACCACCAAAATGAGGTCTTCTCTCTTAACGCGCTTAACAATAATAATGTCAATCGGTCCACACTTTTTGGTCGGCAGCTGGGAGCGGCGACGAGATCAGTTTCACTGTTCGTAGGCACAGATACATCGGAAAACATTGTTAATAATACTCGTTACATGCAGCCGCAATACGATGAATTGAAAGACCGCCGTTTTTATACTTGCTTCCTTTTTGCCGCGCTTTTTCTGGGCAGTGTTCGTTTTTTTAGCTCCCCATTCGGGGGATCAGTTATATAACGACTTTTCAAACCCAACGCGCGGCGGAGGGAGAGAGGGGCCATGCAACAGCAACAACACCGACAACTCGGTTTTTGGCAATACCCATATTCCAACTTTTGAATGGGTCTCTCGATCTCTTTCTCTCTAAAAGAGTAATTAGCATCGTCTTTGTTTCATAAACGTGAGAGAAAAGTACTTGAAAAAAGGGACTTATGTTGGGCATTACACGCTATTGAATTCAAACATACATATATATATGTAGTTAGTTTGAACGATTCACCCTTTTCTCTTCATCAGTACTTGGTATAATACTAAATGCATCAACAACTTTTATGTTGTGGTTTGAATACATATGGATGAGCTATTTTCAAGCACCAAATATTGGCATGATAGGACATCATGTGTCGATATGTTCCGGTCAAACTAAGTACCCGAGATTACACATCAAATATAAAAGCGTTTAGCTGTCGTGTAGATACTCGATTGGGCATCAGCCATGCATGCACGGCAAGTATTTGGATGTGTACTTAGCTACTTGACCTAGCTAAAGTATATAAGACGCGTCAAGTGTGCAGTTTTCTCGAAGATTAGTACCACCACTGAACGAAAATGTTCAAAACGAGACATGTATGTATGTGTTTGATTTCCAATGTAAAAAAAATACAAACCTTTCGGCATTCTATATGTTCATACTAGATTTCAACTCGTGAGTGTTGTATAACTTTCATGATTCGTTATCGTAAATAAGATAGACGGATGCCCATAAAAAAAATATATATATATCCACAGTCACATTCCATGTGGAAACTCTTCCAATATTCATAGAATCAAATAACATCTCAATCTTCACCGCAAAAGTAGCTGATTAAGAGCGTTAGTAGGGCACTTAAATGCAAAGATATATTCCTCCGCTCTCTTTTATAATTTTCTTCCTATGCATTTGACGCCTTTTACACTTAAACGGTCTCGATCGGCCCATGCAATGGGAAAATGCCGGTGTGTTTCCTTTCTTCAAATCTCAGACTTGGAAACTCGTCAAAAACCAAATCCTAATCTTGGAAACCCCCTTTAGTTATAATAATAATAATAATATATGTACCCTTAAACTACACGTAATAATGCAGACTAAACTATGATTAGTGCAATGCATTTGGCCAACTATCTCACTAGAACTAATGTACGTGGTTTAATTAGAACTAATAAAGTTGTGGTTAAATATGATCAAACCCAAGTTGATATGGTTATATAGCATGCAACAGGGCTATAAACCCGCTTGTTCTGCCTCTCTCTCTCTCTCTCTCTCTCTCTCTCTCTCTAAATCAATCTTTAATTATTGCAAATTGTGATTAGTTCTTTGGGTACTTAATTGGCTTCTGTGTCTGTAAATTTCCTTCACTGGGCAGTACGCCTCTCCGACCCACCCAACAGTTCAAATCCTCGAAAGTTGGTTTGACTAAATTTACAAAACAATTATAATTTAAGTTCATTCTGATGGGATCCGAAGTAACCACTTGGCTGTATCATAATTAAGATTTAAGACTACATATCGACACAACTCGAAGAAAAATTATTGAAACAAATGTGTATATTCTGGTCTAGTGGTACGCAATGAGTTTTTTTTTTTTTGTTATTCATTCTTCTAGTTGGGTCACATGTCGTACGTACCGTATATAGATTTAGTAAGAAAATGTTATTTAGATTTTGAATCACAGTACTATAACCCTAGCCCTTAAATTTTGATAAGTGAACCCTAGATCCTAATTAATGCTCTAAACTCTAACCTATAAGTCGTAAAACAGTACATCTTGTATGTTGGTTGTGTTTTAACGAACGAGAACTGTCGATTATTGTTTCTAATTATATCGATCTTAGGATGTAGTATTTACTATTTAGAGAATTATGACATAGGTTTTAATCCTTAAAGTTTAGGATAAAATATCATACGATCTTAACTCCGATTAATTCATGATCTAAATATCATACGATCTAAATTATGCTTCTTGTGTGTGCATTTTAGGAAGTAGATCATGCGCCACGCCATGCCAGTAGTAGGGATGACAACAAAACTCGAACCCATGGGTACCCTACCCGACCAAACTCGGTCAAAGAGGGTAAAACTCGTGTTGACGGGTTTTGGGTCGGGTTCGGGTTTAAACCCGCTACACTATTCACGGGTTGGGTTTGGGTTTAGGTATACCCGCCCACACCCATATAATTAATTTTTTCGGTATATTTAATATTCTAAATAATATATTTTCTTTAAACAACTAATCTTCTTTATGTTTGTGGATGCCGCCCCCCTCTCTCTAAAGGGGCCCGTCACTTCGTTCGTACCTTCTTGGTTATGAAATATAGCATCTTCGTCCCTCATCCCTCTCCTTTGAGTCACTTCGTCTTTCTCCTTTTATGATATAAGAAGAACGACCAAGACGTATTCCCTTGAGGAAGCCGAAGATACAGAAAGAACCGTCTCCAGCGCACCAATGGGAAACGGGGCCCCCGAAAGGATTCTGATCATAGTCGTTCAGCGCGTCAAGTTGACACTATAGCTACAGGCAAGTGTTTAAGGTCGTGATTTCTCATTCAATGGCCTCACAATTTTCATTCCCATGTACAATACGACATCGGGGATTTCACCCGCAGGCTATACTGTCAAGCAAGGAAGGCGACCTCAAAGACTGGCGGCTAATTCGCGTGACGAAAAGCTAGGTTTTATTCCATCTGACGTTTCATCGGATCATTCATAGATGACATGCTTCTAAAGACTGCTGCTCAACGGCGTACGGCTGACGACAACGAAATGGTGCCAATGCTCAGCCTTACTCTACAGTCAAGCATGCCAAGTAGGGATGGCAATGGGTAGGGTCGGGTGCGGGTTTATCCTATACCAACTCCTAACCCGCCGGGTAGAGCCTTCTAAAATACCCGACCAAATAACCACCGGGTATGAAAATTATATAACCATACCCTACCCACCGGGTAACCACGGGCATTCGGGTAACCATGGGTACGAATCCTAAACTATGAACTTATACACATATATGCACGTACATACTGTTGTGTTGTCCATTAAAAATTCTCAATACTTGTAACTGTTCTAGCTTCAACAATCCACACAAATAAAAATAGCAAACACATAATAATTATTTTTGCTTCTACAATCCACACAAACATAATAATCGTCTACATCTTCATCATCAATAATGGTAGCTAAACTCAATTTCTCAAGCTAATCTAAATTTTCCAAGGGAAATTGACCATTTGGTTAGCGGGTATAACGGGGCGGGTATTATCGATTACCATACCCGTACCCTACCCTTTATTTTGAAACCGGGTATTACCCGTACCCGCCCCTTAACCCGTCAAAGCGGGTAATTACCCTCGTTGACCGGTTACGGTCGGGTAGGGTACCCATGGTTACGGGTTGGATTTACATCCCTAATGCCAAGACTAGCCGCCGAGCATTAGCCCACTTCCGTCATCGTAATGTCCACTCAGCTGTTGAGTATGTGGTTCACAGACATGTTTAATTTGTTCTTCCTAATTGTGTAGAATGAAGTTGATATTATGGAGTGGAGAGTGAAGAAGCTTTAATTGACAAGGAGGAAGAAGCTTAATCATGTTATTTATAGATGTTTACTTTTAATTTTAAACAATTTTGTATTGATAATTTTCGGTCTGCTTATATGCTCTAGATTGGTGTTTTTTGTATGAATAATTTGTATGATAAAATTTATGTTAAGCCTTTTATTTTGAAAGAAACTTGTTATTGAAATTTTTTTACACGGGTATCCATGAACCCGAGGATACCCAGCCGGTTGGGTTGGGTTTGAGTTTTTCAAACCCAGCAGTTTTTACCCTGAATTCTTTTTGCGGATAAACCCATGGGTTTGGATTTGGCAAAACCTACCACAACCCGACCCATTGTCATCCCTAACGGTATTTCTATCACATGCGAGTAAACCACAAATTACGCTAATTAATTACTGTTCTAACTTCTAATCACCTATTTCGTGGGGGCATTTGCATACGTAACCCAAACCCAGCACTGCGGACGTCACTATCATGTCACTTACAACTTTACAAGCCCACTTGATGAGATTTCCTCTTAGTAATTAATCTTTAATAATTAATATCTAGTACAACGATTCTTCTCTGGTCTCTCCCTCCATCTGGCTTTGACTTCAAAGTATACATAATTTATAATTCTGCCTCTTCTTTTACCCAACAAAAGGAAATCAACGTATGCCTAAGTTTTTTGTATCAAGCCACAATCATATAGATTGCAAATGTTAGTTTGGATTAGTCTACTATGATTGCCATACCATAATCTAACTCAATATGGAAAAACTGAGGAATCAGAGCTACACACGATCGAGTGAGAGGAGATCGTTGTTTTTCTCTCAATTTTCGAATTACACTTACATGTAAAATGTACAATAAATACGAGAAATGGAGCATTTTCGCAATACTCTAAAGTCTAAACCCCATTAGTTCAAATCCCTTTTTTACATCATTTTTTTTTATCACGCTTGATTCATATTTCTGGATTAATATGCAGTAGCAGAGTCGGGGAATTAAGCCTACACGTGTCCTCGTTCCAAGATATAAATATAATTAATAATAACCAATTAATACAATAATTATTTTCATAAACAATCACGAGTCCACGACACATTTTCATATTCTTAAACAACAACAAAATATATTAGTTGTCTACAAACTCTTAAGTCAGTCTCAGTTGCAGGGAAAATCGATGCTGGGACACAGGACTGCTTCTTCAGTTGCTGGGGGAAAGATCGAATAAGACTCGACAAGAAAATAGATCAATTTAAGGATTTATCCCAATTGGGAATTACGTTTTACAGTGCAACCAATTTAGTTTCGTACTTTTGTTACAATATGGAAACAAAACTAATTAAATATTAAAGGAATCGTACCATGTACCATCTCATGGACTACACATATGTAGACACTTGACGACTACCATTATAAGTAATTGATTAAATTATTAACCAGAGTTAAGGAAAAGAAGTGTGGGGGTTTTTTTTTTTTTTGGGGGGAAGAAATGGTCAGCAATTGGACTTTCTTCCTTTCTTCCAACTCCTCATTCCGTTACACGCTGCTTAGCGCGGTCATACCTCTTACAGTCAGTCAGAGTCACATAGCTTTCCTTATAATTATTACGTGTCTTTTGGTGGTTAGGTTACCCAGCTTGCCTCTTTTTTCCTCGGTCAAACAATTCTATTCTTCCCTTCCCTCCCTCCTCCTTGCTTACTTATATAAATACACACACATGCATTAACATTCATGCCACTAAACCCCATTGATTAAGCTTAGAGTAATCAAGTTACAAATGGCTCATCATCACCACCACCATGCGGCGTCGTCATCGGAGTGGGAGCACAAGTGCGGCGGCCTGGCGGCGGAGCTGACGGCGGGGAGGGAGGTGGCGAAACAGCTCCAGCTCATCCTCAGCTTCACCCCCCCGCAGCCCTCGTCATCGGAGCAGGCGGCGACGAGGGAAGTGCTGGTGCAGAAGATTCTTGCTTCCTACGAGAACGCGCTTTCCATGCTCAGTACTCCGAGGATGATGCCAGCTCAGCACCACCATGATGATGGGGACATTGGGACGGTGGTGATGATGAAGTCGTCGCCGCCGGGGACCAGGAGCGGGAGTCCCGGGAGCGAGGACTCTGACCACGACCTCTTCAAAGACACCACGTCTTCTAGGAAAAGGTAGGCATGCAACAATCTACTTGCAAAAAAAAAAAAAAAAAAAAAAGGAATCCATAATTATAATACTAATTATTAACCACTTGGTCTCCTCCTTAATTAATGTAACTAAGCACATGTGCTGCTGCTGACTCTCTAATCCCTATCTATAGATTGATTTGCCGTTAATTATTATGACATAGTGTTTTTATTTATATATATTTGGAATGGAACTAATTTTGGGGACATTTTCGAATTAATGAAACTGCAGGAAGAGCATTCCGAGGTGGACGCATCAGGTGAGAGTGGGCCCAGGGATGGGCCTCGAAGGCCCACTTGACGACGGCTTCAGCTGGAGAAAATACGGCCAGAAGGACATCCTCGGCGCCAAATACCCTAGGTACTTTGCACATATACATTCTAATTTCTAGCCCACTTTTCATCCATTTTTTTATTTACGTAAAATGTTGTCTGAAAGTTGCAATTGTTTGTTGATATTATTACTATACATTTATTGTTTAGAAAGTATCGTTTTTATTTTTATTATTATTTTTTAGCAGAAACAATACATTGAAATGTTTATGTGATTTGATAGAAACTATCACTTAAAATGATTAATTATTATATCTTAACTTTTAGGTGAGATTGCTGAGAAAGATAGTTGAGCTGAAATTGTTTGTCTCAACTTTTAGCTGATGTGACATAACACAATCACATATACTAAAGGTTGTATTGTATATATAGTATCGTGCATCAAATTTCACAATGCATGTAAAATGTTAATACATACATTCACAACAATACATTCATCTAACAATCGCAGCTTCTAAACCGCTCTTAAATATATCATATTAAGGTCCAAATTCGCGAGATTAATAATAATGTTGTTATTGGTTGGTGGATGGATGTGGCAGAGGGTATTACAGGTGTACGCTGCGAAACGTGCAAGGCTGCCTGGCCACAAAGCAAGTCCAGAGGTCCGACGACGACTCCACCGTCTTCGAGATTACGTACAGAGGAAGGCACACCTGCACCCAATCACAATCACAATCACCATCCACGTCATCATCTCCGGCGCCAAATAACACAGTCCCTCCTCCGCCGTCCGAACCAGCCATGACGCTGGCGGCGGACGACCGTCAACACGAGCAGCTGCTCCTCAACTTCCGGAATGGACTCAACGTCGTGGTAACCGACGACGGCTCGGAGTTCGACTGCTCTCCTCCCACCACCGCCACCGCGGCGAGTACTTACGCCGGAAGCTTGTTCTTTCCTCCGCCGCAGGATGCTACGGTGATGATGACGTCATTTTCAGCTCCGACGAGTTCCACGTACAGTTCTGTCTACCATCACAGCTTTAGCGGCGCGGCCAGCAGTAGTAGTAATGAGAACGTTAATATTAGCTACGGACGGGAGCAGAGTACAACGGCTGCAGCCGCTCCGCCGGTTGACTTCCCGTTTGGCAATATGGACCATTTGTTTGACGATCCGACGACGTTCACGTTCGACAACTCCGGCTTCTTTTCCTAGCTAGCTAGTCCAATCATATGCCAGCTAGCTGTTGCCGTGAAACTTAAGTGATGTTGACTTCAAGATTCGAATTCAAAGTGAGTTGAATTTTTACGTATTAGATCGACTAATCTTCGAGATTGTATCGATAATTTTTTTTTGTCGCTCTTCAAGCTAGTTTTGCGTAATTATTTCAATCTCCTTAAGTAACATAACGGTTTTAGCATTAGTATTAGTTTGCCAATACTTTATCAAGTTGTAACCTTTCATAGTGAGAAGTCATCGTGTGATATCTTTGAGCAAACATCCGATTTGGGCCTTCAATAAGGCCCATGATTCCTTGGCTGGAGTCAATCATACGGGCCATACTTGCTCCCGTTTGGGCCTGTCGTTTACTGTTTCCTGCGAGGATTTACTACTGTTGATGGATTTCTCTGCCAGCATTGTCCTCACAGCAAGGTTGTCAAATCGGATTAAGTCATTGAGCCGGTCAAATAAGAGGTTCGAGATTTATTAGTCTGACTAGGGTCAGATCGATTTGAGTCTGTTTTCTAAATATATGTAGAAATATGGTAGTAATTAAAAAATCTAATTACTTAAATGAAAATTTTCTTACATGTATCTATTGAAAACTTAGTTCTCAAAATATAAAACCTACCTAAATCTCTATAACCAACCCACCATTAGGGCTGTCAATTTGGTTTGGTTTGGTTAACCAAACCATTAAGTATGAAAAACCAAAAATCAAAAATCAAATCCCAAAAACCAAAAAACCAACATGTACTCATACACTCATATTTATTCTTATTTCCCTCCTTTTTATTGCATAAACGTCATAATAATGGTAAATGGCCATTACAAATTATTGGTTGGCATGCGTGTCAAAAGAAAAAAAAAATTGTTGATGAATAATTTTATTCTTATTGGTTTCTTAATGGTTTCTAATTGGTTTTTCGGTTTTAACCAAACCAAAACCATTAAGTTGCTTATTGGTTTAAAATAAAAAAACTGAAACCATTAGCTTTCCAATTGGTTTGATTTTGGTTAAAACCAAAAAACCAAAACCAAATGGACAGCCCTACCCACCATCTACCTTTCTTGTTTCCCCTCCTCTCTTCCCTCTCTCTTCTTCTCCCTCTTTAGTGCTCAGATTGGGGGCTTTCTGGAGGCCGTTTTAAAGCCGAATAAGGTCAGACCAGGTTCGACAGGGATCTGATAGGGGTTTAACAACCTTGCCTCAAAGTGATATCTCTAACGACACAGTCTAGAGATAGCCCAGTGAAGAAGGTGTACTCTCCCTTTCCTGCTAGCCTAGTGGTGGTCCAAATTACATTAACGGCGTTCATGCAAGTGAGGGGTGATCGCTTTGAATTTGCAACCAAGTTGCGAGCAAAACATTCAGCTACTACCCTGTTATCTGAATATATAGCTGATTAGATTCAGGGGGTCCAGGACAAGGAAGACAATACAACAATCAATTTAAAGCCAAATATATAAGATATCGATGTGTGGAAAGATTGCTTCAGCCTTCAAGGAATCGAATAGACAGTTCATTGCACAAGAAAAAGAAAACATAAATCGTGGTCCATAGACATGTTTCCATCTCTCAAACAACATATAGCAAAATTTTGTCGGGTCAATTTATAACATGACTCGTATAATATAGGGGGAGTAGAAAATTCAAAACCCGTAACGTAGCATTTGTCCTTAAACCAAGACCAAATCGTCACAGTTACTGGTGAGTGGTGACATCGATTTAAATCGAAACAGATAAATACAAAATGGTTCCACACTGTTAGCAAAATCTTAAATAACACGATTCAGTTTTTTTGTTGAACGAGCAAAACCGAACCCAAACTACCTATTTTTAGTCATAGTATGCCGGAATCAGTTCATTCCAATTACTAAGATTGTTGAGATATGAGAGGGAGCCTAAAGTGGTCACAATGGTGAGCCATGATTGGGGCTAGGAAATGAAAGTGAAGGACGAAGTGTGAGGGGGGAAATTTTAGTGTCGGGAGAAGCAACCTTTATGTCCTAAATCCTAATGCTGTGATACCAATTAGGGTTTGTACATGCAATATCACATCTCATTTTATTATTATTAGGGTTTTGACTACTGCGAATTTAGTACTATTTTTTCTAAAAATGTGGAAACAATTGCTAGCTATGTGTATATACATACCTCCTTGGAGGACCTCCCTAATTTCAACTGTTCTCCTATCTAGAAATGGTGAGAAATGAATAACCGAATTGCCTTCTTCATGAAAGCAAAAAAATTTAATGTCAGTAGTGTGCTACACGTAAAATGACATATCCAAGGATAGGATAGAGCTTTATTTATGCAACTCTTATGCTTAAAATAATAAATTCTTATATGTAAAATGAGAAATCCTCAAATTCAAGAACCCTCTATGTAGCTTATAAGTAGGTAGCCAGGCCTAACTTTTCTAGTGAAAATTGTACCCTTTGAGAAAAATTTACAAGTACACACTCAACCAAAATTCTCCTAAATAATTCAAAAAATAGCCAATATTACAAAAGATCACAACGTTTACTCTGTAAGACACCGTATAGTTATGTGTATTTGTAATGAAATGTTATTTGCCTTCATCAAAATGATATGCTTTTCAAATGTATCAATGTGAAGTATTATATTTGAAAAAAAAATTCGTCCGATATTGAGTTATCGCACACAATGAAATGAGAAGAGACAGTGTGACATGCGCGCTCAAGTTTAGATGACATAGATCGATGGACATAGCCAAACACTCATCATCAAGTGAACTAATCACCATCATTATCAAAGGCAGAAAATAAAAAGCAATAATAATGTCCATGATTTAGGGTGCACCATTACATGTACCATGTGTTCATCCTAGTACACTACAAACTTATGCCTCCACCTACCAAAAATTACAATTGTTAGGGATGCCCATAAGTATGCCCTTTCCTAGACATATACATGGTCATTTTTTTTATTACTAGGTTGTACACCTCAATAATTGAAGGCCAAATTACAAAGAAAAAGGATAAGAAAACCAAATTTAAGAAACAAGAGGGGAAGTAGTTAGGTTTGGGAGACATCCTTGTCGACCAGACAACTAGACAGAAAGCATCCATAACCATACATTACATTAGAGAGATAAGGGAGAGATCAGAGCAATTATATATATAATATTAGGAGCAGAATGTCTGTTGGACCTGTTGAGCAAGCTCCTCTGCACTTAGTTGGCATTCAATTCCAATCTGTTCAAACATTATAAAACCACCAAAAGATCAAAACTTAGACCATGTATATATATGCATCAAACCTAACACATTAAAGCGTTTTCGTGCACAAGACAAAAGTATATATAGCTCCTCCACCATGTTTCGAATTTAAGTTAAAGCTGCCCTAGACAATGCCTATTCTCCAATTGAACCGTCCTTTTCAAACTTATAAAAAAATGGAGTCAATGCAACCACTCATGTCACAAAACCATCAACTTCCATCTCAACAAAATTACATTGCCGTTGTGATGTTTAATGTACACGTCGTTGTAGTACTACATGACCATTACTTTCAAGTTTTCGCGTCAAAATTTATACCGTTCAAATCGACCATCTGTAGGGTCCATATCAAAATATGTACGATGATTCGAGATTTTAATTCGCGACTAGATTAACAGAATTGACATATGAGAATAAGCTTCAATTCGAGTTCTTTTTCTTTCTTTCTTTCTTTCTTTCTTAACGTTACCTTGATGGTGAAGGAGTTGAGCATGGTTTCATCGACGGTGTTGAGATTCACATGGAGAATCTCGAGCGCGAGGTCCTCGAGCGCCGAGATGATCTTCACGGCCTGCCCCGGGATCCTCGGAGAAACCGTCTTCAACACGAGGTTCGGGCCGGCGAACTTCACCTCCACGTCAGCAATCCGCGACTTCGAATTAGCGACCAACTCGTTGCTATTGTTGTTGTTCACCCCGTCGCCAATAATCATGAGGTTGGAGGAGGACGAGGACGACGTGGTTGGGGACGGCTCGACGGAAGCCGACGAAATGTAGTTGTTGTGTACATTGGTAGTAGAACTACTGAGCAGCGACGGCGGCCTGGGCTTGTAAGGACTGGTGGGCTGCGGGGTTCGTGGGCTTATCGGCTGCAAGTTGCTGTTGATGATCCTCGGGCTTATGGGCGGCTTCCGCGGGCTCAATGGCGACGGCCGGGGACTATTAGCGACGATTCTAGGGCTCAGCACTTCGCTGTAGATCACTTTGCGCTGCTTCTTGGCTTCCAAGGATTGGAGGATTTGTTGTAGCTCGCTGATGTAGTCCACCACTCCTCCTATAATCGACGCTTGGTCTCCCTATCATTAACCACGGAATAAATTACTCGTCGCTATTTGTTAACTTGAGTTTTTTGTTTATCCGTTGTATAATTAATTAATTAATTAATTAACTTACCGACCGGCTTGGTACCTTACTTAAAAAAAACCTATATCACACTTATCGAAAAAGAAAAAAAGAAAAAAACTTACCCGCTTGACGTAGAAGCAAGGCATGAGGGACCTCAGCACGGCCAGATGCTCGTTCATCTGCTTCCTCCGGTTGCGCTCCACGGTGATGTGAGACATCTTGTTCAGCCCGTCGGTAGGGCTGCCTAGCTCGTCCTCCTGATTCCACACATCGGCGGCGGCCATGGTTTTTTGTCTCTTGCTCTTGGGTTCGGCCTCGTTCTGCTGCTGCTCCGAGAATTCTCTCGGAGCAGCAGTGGACGAGGATGTTGACTTCTGCGAAGTCAACAGTCTGGAGGTCGTGGGTTGTCGGACTCCTGCAGCACCTCCGTACGGAGGTGTTGCAGGAGTTGTAGCAGCTGGTTCGAAGGAAGCTGGGAAGTTGGGGATGGTGGTGGTGGTGGTGCCGCGGCGGCGGCGGTCGAGGGACTCGAAGATGGCGAAGAGTTCGTTTCCCTCTAGTGGGTTGTAGTCGTTGTAGCCGAAGTCCGGGGTTCCAAGGAGATCGGACATGCTAGCTTGGCTG